CTCCATTTCACTCAAACCTGGAATACAAACTTGTTGGATGGTCTGTACCATACAACAATCCATGCATCACATAAATCCATTCTCCACAAAAAACCACCATTAACATGGTCGGGAGGTCCAGTTCAGTGTCTAAGAGATGAAGGATTACCACAGCTCTGTATCTGACTGCACTCCTAACTTTATGCCTTAGAGGTTTCCAAATGGATGATTTATAAAAACATGAGTCTTTGTGCAGTTATGATGGAGGGAACCATCCATACAGGCCAAAACAGCTTTTTATTTGCAAACATGTTTATTTTGGATATAAAGTTGGGGAGCACAGGGGAGCCAACCTCAAGTGAACATTCTGTGCTTCAGTCCCAGTGGTTGTTGTGCTGGTTAATCATATTCATTCCACATTAAACTGTCTCTTTAATCTCTCATTTTTCTTTCCATGTATAAATTAGTTAGATTAATTTGATGACAACACTGTAAAATATATTAACTAGATTGATGGTTTGAGTTGTTGTCTAAAAACAACATAGAATCTGGTGGGTCACCAGTCATGGAAACTTTGATGGCTCAAGCCACCTGTGAAACCTCAGATTTGAAAATCTGCTGTTTGATTCAAATGTTATACACATAAATGGAGACCATTGGTAGCACCAGAGTTCTTCAGGAATAAACATTAAACATGGTGAAAAGAATAAATGAAATGCCCCCATCCATCCATCCATCCATCCATCCATCCATCCATCCATCCATCCATCTTCACTTATCCAATTCAGTGTCATGTGTTAACTTTATTTACCAAACATTGGTAGAAACTACTACAGACTCCATTAGTAAAAGAAGGAAAGTATTTCAGAAAAAGTATGAACCACTGAACTCAGATCTCTTCACAGCTTAAATCACAAACAATAACAGCATGTCTGGCCTATAGTTAATAGATAGAGAGGATATCTATAGTGGACTGATAAGTGGAGAAACAATTTCTCCATAAACCTCTGTTATTGGACCTTTAATAACTCGCCACAGAAATCCGGACCCTTACAGTCACATATAAGCTCCTCTAACCTTTGGAAAAATCCAAGGTGGGCACTGAGAGGCACTGTGTGCCTCGCTGTCACTTCAATGTGGCACGAAACCTTTGAGCTAATTTCCTGCAGCACGGTGAGCCTTCCAGGTGTG